TGATGAAGGGAAGGAAAGGAAAGGGGGGAAAGGGTTATTGTTCCACCCCCCCCCCCTCCCATTTTGGAGAGAAAACGTAACCTGCTCATTAATTTTTCTTATTATTATTATTTGCCCTCTCTCCTCTCTTTTCTCCACTATCTTCTTCCTTCTCCACTAGCAGATAGAATACGAACCAGTGGAAGAACAAAAAACAGAGGCCTTTTCTTCTTCTTTGTTCTCCCTAAAGCTGGTCCGCCACCTATCTCCCACTGCACAAATAATGGCAAGAAAGTTATGTTGGAGAATGATGTTACCTGGTTAGATAATTGGACCGGTCAAGGTTAATTAACATGAACCAAGGTTTCATTTGACACTCAACCTTTCATTATGTTTGAAATAAGCAAACTTCCCCACCTCAATTTCTCCACGTGATGCCTTTCCACCAGAAGGAACCATTGGATTGAAATGGAAGGTTGCCATGAAACGTATCAAAGGAATTGAAATGGATGGCGGTTATGACCTAACCATACAACGTTTCAATGAAATTAAATGGGATGGTAGTTAATTTGCCATGCATTGAACAGATTAGTCAGTGGCTTCCTGAAGCAATGCAATGCTTCGGTGTAGTGTTTCAACCACTATAAATAGATGTGATGGCTGGTGGAGGAGACACACCAAAATTCTTTCTTCTTCCTATTAAACTTCTAAGTATGCTTTAGGTACTTAAGCTTGGAACCTAAAGTGGTGATAGTTTTATCCTACGAAGAAATTTCCTGTAACCCTAGGCTTGTTGAGGGTGAATAGCATTCCCGGACTGCGATTATACTTGGTCGCAGTTTGGTGTTGCGTTATAGCGTGTCACCTTCTATTCCCATATTGAAAATATAAACGTGAACAAAAGGTGAATTGCTCTCTTAGAGGGGCTTTTATTCTTCTTCTTCTTCTTCCGACGCCATTGGAGAGGAACTTGGTATGGCTACTACCTAGTGGCTACTGGGCTTTGACACCACGTGCTCTAAATTGATGAATGAAGATATGTCAATACTAGTGGATGGATCAGAGCGGGTATTACCTGATCCGTGCGGGGCAGTGAATGGACCAGAATTTAGTGACGCGTCCTGGAGCATGGGGCAGGGAGGATTAGTGTTCTATGAGCCGGGATAGAGCACGGATTCAATTTTATCCGCTCTGTTCTCGCTCTGTTGTCATTCCTACACTAAAGTGAGGGTAGATAGGCATCTGGTATTGATGACTCGATATTTACACATGTTTTTGTCCATCATTCTTGTACCGTTTGAGTCTCATCTCTCGTGTTTTAGGCCGATTTCACGCTAGGTTGTTCTTGTTTGTGATATTTCAGGTCCTATTACGTGAAAGAAGGTTTGGGCACAATTTCGGGGTCGGTTGGACGAAGTTGGGACGTTTGACGAAAAGCTGGAAATTCCACACGGGCACGCCTAAAATTCCACATGGCCGTGTGACCTGACCGTGTGGCACCAAATTACACGGGCAAGCCACACTGGCCGTGTAGGGGACCCTTTGTGGCCGTGTGGTAGGGGTGGGCATCCGGTTCGGTAAACCCGAACCGGACCGAACCGAAACCGAAGTCAACCGAACCGAAACTGGAGTATTCTTATTCGGTTCGGAAATCGGAAGCCAAAACTCAAGAGTTCGGAAACCATGATCTTCTCAACCGAAACCGATTTCCGATTTCCGAACCGACCAACCGAACAAACACTCACAGTGTACAACTCCAAGCCCTGAGCCCACACAAATCCAAGCCCACACAACCCCAAGCCCGCTACATCTATTTTTCCATTTCTCTAAGGAAACCCTAGCCCACCCAAACCTCATTCTCACAACAATCACCAGCAGAAAGTGAAGGCTTGGCGGCGGTCCCTCTGCGACAAAAGAGGAGAACGGCAGCGGAGTTCAAGTCCCCGTCGACGATTGCAAACGAAGGGAGGAGAAGGCTTGGCGGCCAAGATCTGCTCGCGGCCGACGAAGTTCGAGCCCCCAAACCAAGATCTGCTCGACGGTCGACGACATCACTTCCCTTCAAGCCTTCAACCAAATACAAAAAAGAAGAGCGAAATCGATGAGAAACGTAGATGCGAAGGAGAAAAACAAACAAAAAATTCCATGCATGCTTGGATATTAAGCCTTACTAACCTCTTAACCTTCGTCGCCGGATTCGTCACAATCATCGATGTCAATCGACGCCGCCGCCGCTGGATTGTGCTCTCCGTCACTCGCCATCACCGCCTGGCCCTGGGTCTTTCTCTTCCTCAATCTCCCTCGCCGCCTACCCTTGGGTTCTCTTCGTCAATCGCCGAGATGGGAGGAAAACTTGCGGCTGCGTTCTGCTCTATGAGGAGAGAGAGAGAGAGAGAGAGATAGAGAGAGAAATAATTTGTTCTCCACAGCCGCATATGGTAAATGGGGAGATAGGGTTAGTGGGGAGAGTATTAATTCTGGAACTTTCGGTTGTTGTATTAAAACCGAACCGAGATATATTTCGGTTCGGATGAACCGAACCGAAATATAATTTGGTTCGAACTCGGTTTGACCCATGGCATACTTCGGGGATCCGGTAAGCATCTGTTCGGTTCGGTTTGAACCAAACCGACCGAATGCCCACCCCTACCGTGTGGAAAGTCCAGGGAGCTCACACTGGCAGCCTGGAAATCCACACGGCCGTGTAGTTTTGACCGTGTAGCGAACCCGAAGCCACTTAATCGAAACGCCGCGTTTTGCACACTCACACGGGCAGCTGGGAAAGTCACACGGCCGTGTGGTCGGAAATTTCTGGGTTTTAACCCAATTTCGAGCCAAAGGAGGGGGAATCGACTTTTTGGAGCAAAAATAGAGCCTAGAGAGAGAAAGTGCGAAGAACACCCCCTAAGAGTGGTTTCTGGAGCTGGGTTTCATCAATCAAGCTTGGAAATCATCCTTGGAGTGAAGATCATCATCCTAGAGCAGATTCTTCTCATTGTTATGAGTATGACTGCTTTGCATTATGTTTCCCTCTCTCTCTCTATGGAGTAGAACCTTCTCTCACTTGGGTATGAAGAACCCTAGTTCCATGTGTTAGGGATCTTGATTGTAATGACTTGGGATTGTTATACTGTTTGGTTTTAATCGAATGATGCATGATTCATTGAATCAATTGAAGTCTGATCATCTTTTCTTGATTTTTGCTGCAACCTGAGATAGATAGAATCTGATTAGGTTGTTAGAGCTTCATCAATCGGTAGTGGTAGATTGGTTATACGAGAGTTAATCAACTTACTGCTTTGTACTGGAACCCAATCCCAGTAGTGGAGTTCTGTGCTTATTGCCTCAGCAGTCTATCCCGGTGAAGGTTAGTCGCCTGCCGGTTAGCCTGCTTGAGAGGGCTTGGTCAGCTTAAGAGATTCCAAGCTACCGTCGGATCTTCCACAGTTTAATCAACAGTAAATCAACCCAGGGTAATTACAACTGAGACCTAACTAAGGAGCTAGGGGGACTCATTCCCGAGTGACTCTTCCTTTACTTTAGAAAACCGAACAATTTCCTGCTTTCTTACTACTTTTACTTAAATCAATAATCACTTGACTTAGTTGGCTAGATAATAGATATTCACGGAGTAGGCAGTAGATCTAGACCCTGGGTTGACATTAGAGCTTGCCTGTTATTGCATTTTCGTACTGCGATTACACTTGGTCGCAGTTTGGTGTTGTGTTTTAGCGTGTCAGGTACCCAGTTGGATTCTCGAGGTGGGTAGAGCGAATGAATAATGTTTATGGTTCTTTTTCTCACTTTCTCAACAACATTTGTTCCTTTTTTGTAATTTTGGGTCCCGTGTTCGATCTCTTACATCTCTGCCTTGCTCTTTGTCACTTATGTTGAAGGATCGTAGCAACATAAAAATTCTTTTTGGTGTTTCTAGCTGGGCAAGGGTCATATGCATGCATTTTGTATTATTTCCACTACGTATACCTCGGTCGTGTGAATGGGTCACTACGTAAGGATACCTAACCTTTTAAATGCTTCTTAATAAGTGGTAGTGTCTCATGCACATCGCTCTCAAACATGACATTCCGATTGGAAACAATTATATGCATGATTTGCTCTTATTTGGTCGGATGATGACCTCATTAGGGTCTCATACATACAACTGCTCCGAGGACGGTTATATAAAATTTGCCATTATTCTGTCTGGAGAGCAATTTATAAAGGTTGTCTAATCATCCCTCATTCATCACTCGATCAGTGCCTCACACGCAGACTTTATAGGCTGTTTAATTCACTTTGTTTATAGTGATACCACATCAAACATTTTGGAGTGATTTTCAAATATTTTATTTAATATAAGAAAAAAAAGGTGTATATGATGTAAAAGTTTAATAGATTTTGATCTAGCCTTTGATTGGATCAGTATGAATGAAATGAAATAAAATTGAAATTGGGACCAAGTATATTGAGCATGTAAATAGGGTATTAGCCAACCCACATTCATACTGGTATATGACCTTATCTGATTAAGCAGATATCCACAAACTTGGATTTCATTTATCCTTATACAAAATGATTCTTACTGTTCAAATTATTTATGCATTACTCAAAATTGACTAATATAAGCAAAAAAAAAAAAAAAAAAAACCCAACCAACTAACGGCCTGAACACAAACTAGTATGTCATTATATAGAATCACAAAAGGAAATTATTTCATAATTAAAATTATGCCTTTGTAAACCAACAAGCTAATCATTATTGTTTGATTTTCCTTAGGAAATAATTTTTGGCATACCTTTAATCCAATCAAACATACCTAAGGTTCTTATACATCGAGAGGGGATAGCCTAAAGAGCTAGAAAACATACTAGGCCATCAAAGGTATGCATGTAAATTGAAGTCCTATTAGTTTCATCCGATCAAGGAGATCGTAACTTAACCACCACTAAAAATTCTATTGCATAATAGGACTAAAATGATTCAACAAGACAAGGCTAGAGAAGGCCAGGAAGTGTACATAATCCAAAAGAATAAAACATTGAGAGACCTTGACAAAAGGCAATTGAGCATGCTAAAAGGATCTGTTTATCCATACAAGAAGTACCTAGAGAGCCCCCAAAGCATATGATGAGACCTATGAAAAGGATTGCAAGTGCATTGAAGCCAATAGGTTCATATAATTAGGAGATGACCCTCACCTAGCATCAAAAAGTCTTTTTATTAGTCACTAATATATTAAACAAAAGAAAAAATTCATCCAAATACAACTGTCCATCCTCTCGTTCTCGTTCAATAGTCACCTCCCAATTTCATTGTTATTATCTCTGGCTTTGCAACTCATGAAAGTTTTCCTCAATAAGAAATTGAAGCACTGAGCTAACATATACAATAATTGTCCAACCATAACCATTGATGTGGGTTCATATAAAATACATTTTTAATGCAAAAGAGCAAATCCTTGCATCGGGAACCACTCCATTTCTCGAACTATTGCACATGAGAAAGACTAATTGGTCATATCTTAACAACAATATAGTTTTACCCATAGGGGGGGGTTAGCCACATTGTTTCCAAATATGACCAGCTTTGTCCGTCTTCGAGACTTCTACTTGATTTTCTTTTAGCATATCCCACATAACGTGAACATCATTGTACTTGGAAGCTCTCACATCTTGTTTCAATTTACTAATCCCTGCGTTATTTCAAACATGTTACCAAAATTTGAAAAGAGGAAGAAAAAACACGTGAAATTGATTATTGATTGCGTGTATAATTATCTCAATATCATATGATTTAGTTAATATTTAGATGAAGTTTTCAACATTATATAACCATAATGCATACATTAGTACATATGAAAAGTAATTGACTATTTCTATAAACAAAAGTTTCCAAGGTAAAAACATAAAACACACCCTAACAGTTTCTCTTTTAATGCTTATTACATATGAAATTTAAGTGAGTTACTTGATGTACTATCACAGTATCTTTTATGCACATCAACTCGTCCAAAGTATAAACAAATGAAAACTCAGTAAATAAATACTATGATAAACTCATAGTATGTTAAATCTAGGTTCTTCATGTACTTATTCAATTTTTATATGTAAGTAATCAATGTTCATAAAAATATAGTAAATTAATCCATAATCATGCAAAATGTAAGAAGATTCTCAAGTAGATTGGTTATAACAGAAAACAAAAGCAAGTTTTCAATTTACCTCTCTTGCGAAACTTTAGTCGCACAGTAACACCCTTCCATACTTTTTTTACGGGATGCATCATCCTTTTCCAATTCGCCATTGCAATTGACGATTTTCTTATTCTTTACATATGTTAAATTGCAGAGTAGAAGGAAACACGAGAGAGAGTTTAGAATGAAAAACAAACCATCAATCTATTGAGGGTAGATGAAAAAAATAAAAAAGGTTTTAGTTATGTAATAATCAAATGCTTTCTTTTACTTCAATAAAGCTGATTAGCAATTGAAATACACAATATGATATTGATGGAATGAGGGAAAGAGAGAGAGGTGTGATCATGAGTAATAAAGAATTGAATGTGTGAACACCTCTCTGTCTCTCTCATTCTCTTAATTCTCTTTTTTCTCTATTGTTTTAAATGTTTTGATTTTTTTTAGGTAAATTTCATTAATAGTTTTCTAAATAAGCGCTTGAATGATCTCATCTCTCAAAGGTGTTGCCTCTTTGTTCACACACTTCCGAAATGCATGGCTGGAACGAAAATTAAGCTTTTGCATAACCTACATTAACATATTTTAGTTACATCGCTCAATCTGTAATTTTATGAAGTGTGAAACCGATTGCATGCCCCTATCACAAAAACTGAACGAAGCCTAGTCGATGCGACAAAATATGTGGGATTTGTAGGTGCGTTAAGTGGAAGATCAACTAACTAAGAAATGAAAGATGGAGACATGTAATGAGAGAAGCTAACACGGTGACACGCTTAATAGTCAACAGTGAAACCCCATTAGAATATGTACAAGTTTGAGTAAATGGCCCACAATATATTTTGGAGTACGGATCATGTGACTAAGGGAGGTCCTTAGTCACTTGAATAAACCCCTCATAGCCTTCAGATCTAGACACATTACGTTCAGATCTAGACAAACTACGGCTAAAAAGTGGGAATGACATTTTATTTAGTGATAGAGGCAATTTTGATATTATGATAAATTGGTTTTATTTATTTTATTTTTTGCTCTCTCTTATCACTTTCCAACAGTCTCAGTTCTCCTCTTATTATTTTACATTGTTTATACAAACCAGATGAAAAAACTGTACAAACCAGATTTACAAACAATACAAAACATACAAACATTACAAACTAGACCGACAAATCATACAAACATACAAAATGGAAAAATAATCAGGTTGACTTTGGAGGCTCCGTCCCTATAGAGGAGTTCCGACCCAAAGTTATCGTATTTTTTTTAAGCATACAAACATGGTAGACAAAAATGACAAATCTTACAAACATTACCAAAAAAATTGACGAACATTGCAAAAATGAAAAAACTTACAACCATTACAAAAGAATCTGACAAACATTATAAAGCATACTAACCGTACATAATTTCATTATGTACAATACAAATCAGTAAACTTGTATGACAAACCAATAAATACAAAGTATACAAATCATAACATAAAGTATACAAACTAGACAAACAAAAATTACAAACTACAATATATACTAATTAGTCAGTATACAAACTAGACAAACAAAAATTACAAACTACAATATATACTAATTAGTCATATAAACATTACAAACTTAATAGACAAAAATGATAAACGATATAAAGAGAATTGATATTTTTTATAGGAATCTGTGTTATAAACCGAATTGATAAACATTACAAACATGACTTACAAACATTACAAAATAGACCGATAAAAATCATAAATCTGGAGTCGTCGCCGGAAAACCCTCATCCGACGTCCTGCCGCCTGAAAACTCTCTCTCTCTCTCTCTCTCTCTCTTTCTCTCTCTCTCAAAGGAAATGGAGAGAAATGGACAGGACACCGAAAAATCCTTGGCTCAAAGGAAATTGGGGAATGGGATGGGACACCAGAAAATCCCCTAGCAGAGGCATGAAGGGCACCAAGGACCCGCTGAGGGTTTTTTCAATCACTTCATAATTAAAAATTAAAAAAATAATAATGCAATTACTCCATTACCCTTCATTACAGTAGATTAATTGGAACCATTAGATTTAACGAGGTTGAAAGACTGAAATTCACTGAGTCACATGACTAGAAGATCCCCTAGTCACTTGATCCTACTTTTTTTTTTCCAGATCAATTAAAATTGGATGGTGTAATCGTTTAACCTAATGTAACACAAGTTTACTATAAACGACAAAAAACTATAAAAGTCTCAGAAACTACTTTAATTATACTCATTTTAAACGGAAATCTCACCTATCCGAAATAGAAACAAGTTTAATTTCCGGTTAACATATAGAATCTATGGGAGCGGATAGGATGCTTTCACCCTATAGTGTTAGCACCCTACTAGCACTTTCATCAAGGGCATTATGGTAATACCCTTTATAACACATCTCTCCTTCCTTCTCCGTACTCTTTGTCTCCCTCTTAGTTTCTTTTCTCCAAAACCGTCTTTCCCGGCGACAAAGACATGGCGGAAATTGGACTGAATGGCAATTGCGAAGCAGCTGCGGAAGTCGATGCAAACAAAGGAGTTGCGGTGGCCATAGATCCAAAGGCAGCCATCGTCGATCCCGACGAATCCATTATCAAATCATTAAAGTTTTTCCCGATAATGGCAATTGAGGAGGTGTTGTGCTACTGACGGCTGGAGCTGCTATTTTTTCCTTGAAAAAATCGAGATGGGGAAGGAGTTCTTGTGGTGCCGCTAGCTGCAACGGGAAGAAAGAGAATTAAATCGCCAGCTGGGAATTGTGGGTGTGGCAAAGATTGAAACTTAATTAATTGCAACTACGACTGCTTTCTTTTGCAAGAAGAATGATAATGATCGGCAGGGCTTTCACGATCTAGAATGTCATGATCGTGTCTGTATTAACCGTCTGAAGAACGCATGCCTTCTGGTTAGCTTGTCACACAAGGGGTGAAAGGGGCGACTCTAGCGATAAGGCGTTGTCTGCCTGTTCATCATTCTGGCCAAGTCAGGATGTGACTGTGACGGGGATCATTGCAAGCGAATGCACAATTGGTCAGGGGCTATTGCCGCCTTCCTATTGAGTCCAAGGCAGGGCGAAACCGGTTGGCATGTGTACATGGAGAGGTTGGTCTTGAGGGTTGAGTGCACCTCAAGACGCCGGGCGGCAATAAACCCGAAATGTCGTGACTGTATTGAAATCTTATTTACATTTTCAATTATTGTTTTAATTATGTTCCTTTCTTGCATTGATCCTTCGCTAGTCACCACCACCGCTACACTTTTGCAAATTGGCTGGTGGTGGGCGCGGTTCGGCTTGAATTAAATTGACATCCTTCCTACTACTATTGTTAGGTTTTGGAACTAGAACCACCATCGAAGAATCAAGTGGCAGTGCGGGTTTAGACACGTCGAACGATTTCAAATTGAGGGAGATTCTCCGGGTTTTGGAGAAAGAAGCGGATTTGGAGGAATAGCCGCCGAGGAGAGTTTCGATGGAATGGGAAGAGGTGGTGGATGATGTCGCTCAATTTTGATAGCAGATCTGAGACGAGAAGTTCAAAAGAGTAGTTAAAGCATCGTCTTCCTTTGTCGGTGGAGATGTTGCTCTTCTGGGGGGTTTGGATCAAGAAGGGGCGGGGAAGGAGGCTGTGTTTTGTTTCTGTTTTACAGGCGAGAAAACTTGCGTTGAAACGAATTGAATGCACCTTGACTTCTTTGGACAACGATCACTAAGACACGACTCACACCTGTAACATCCCGAACATCGGATAATTTTTTTTTAGTAGCGGACATATATTGCACGTTTTGAGACTGGAAAAAAAAATCGAGAAGTTATCCTATACGAGGTAGGATCAATGATAGACCGATAATTGCACATGTTTTCACCCCTATTCTGAAGCCGTTTGTGATGTGGAATCTCGTGTTTTAAGCCGATTTCACGCTAGGTTGTGTGTTTATGTCATATTTCAGGACCCGGCGTTGGAATCGAGGCGGAGAAACGAGTTCTGGGTCGAAATGAGCCGAGTTGGGACTAAGGGGGCTGCAGGAGTAAAATACCCGGTCGGATGGCAAAATACCCGACCGGGTATTTATCGTTTTTGGCACCCGTGAGAAGCAGAAGGGGGCCCGGGCGATGGCCTTAAATCCCCGGTCGGGGATTTTGGTGGTAGACCGGGGATTTTCCCTGAGGACGAAACGGTGCGCTTCAATTATACCCGGTCGAGACCCAAAATACCCGACCGGGTATTTTGACCGGGGATCGCGAAGCAGCTGATAAAAGCCGGTTTTGTGCGTTTTTGCAAGGGGAGAGCGGGGTTTTGGATCCCAAACACCCAAGGGACGAACCCTAGAGAGAGAGAGAGCGATTTGAGGACATTCTTGGAGCTATTTTGGAGGATTTCTTCGCCATTGGAGCTCGGGAATCAAGCCCGGACTTGAAGACTGATCATCTGAAGATTCTTACTGCAGTCTCTCTCTTCTCTATGGAGTAACTTCCCTTCACTTAGGTTTTGAGGAACCCTAGCTATGTTTGTTTGATTGGATGATTGTATGAGTACTCTGACTTGATAATCTTGAGTTCATATTCAATCTATGCATGTTTTCACGATTCAATTCTGCTTTAGTCGAGATTATTGATTCTGCTTTGATCCTATGAGAGCGAATACCTGATTAGGTCAATAGAGCACCATAGATTGATAGTAGTGGATCGATTGCTTTAGTCGAGGGTTGATTCACTGCTTTGTATCGATTGAGAACCTCATTCGATAGAGGGAATCTAGTTCAGAACGCCTTGATCAGTTGTTCTAGAGAAGGATACGTCCCTCTAGGCAATTGACTCAAGAGGGCCTTGTTCCTTTAGTCGAGACTCAAGGTCTAGTCAAGGATTCTCCGCATTGTGAATGAAAGTGAAACAAGTTAGACATCATCAATCGTTAATCTGGCTAGTGGCTAGGGGGAATCATACCTAAGTGAGTTCCCAACCTGTAATTAGATTAACTTTAACTGTAGTTTGCTAGAGTAGTTTTAGTTCTTTCAACTTAATCTGTTTTGCTAGATAACGAACTGAAGCTGAGTAATAGTAACTCTAGAGACCCGTGGATTCGATATTTATTACTTGAGCCACTATACTGCAGTCCCTTTCATTGGTTACACTTGGCCATTGTTAGGTGTTGTGTCATAGCGAGTCAATCAACGAAACCACTTAAAAACTCCCCAAACATCAAAAAGTGCAACAAAAATTTATTGTTGGCTGTAGGAATCGAACCTCTGACCTATTGGTCAGTAGGGAAGGGTTCAACAACTTAACCAGTTAGACTGTGCTGGTTTCAATGATACAAAAGGAGCCGAGTCATTAATGAGCTAATGACGTCGGCATGGCACCAGCAGCTTGCTTGTTTATGGAGCCGGCTTTGGAACTTGAGTTTCTTCCTTTCAAAGCTACTGCTCCTTAGAAGGCCGCCCCAGGCCTTTACTCCATCTGCTGGAAAGTGA